AGGGGGAGACCCCCCCACGCCCCAGCCCCTCCCCCAGTCTGGCAGCACAAGCCCCGCCCCCACCCAGTTGGGGGGTTACAGGTAGGGTTACCATACGTCCGGATTTTCCCGGACATGTCCGGGAAAATCGGGACCGGTGGGCTGGGCCGGGGGCGCCGAGCGGGCTGGGGTGCTCGGCCGGGGGCCCAGGGGCCGGCAGTACTGGGCGGGCCGGGGGTGCTTGGGCCCGGGGGTGCTTGGCCAGGGGCCCGGGGGCCAGGCTGGGGACCGGCAGTGCTGGGCGGGCCGGGGGTGCTCGGCCGGGGGGCCGGGGCCCCGGCAGTGCTGGGCAGGCCGGGGGTGGTCGGGCCCGGGGGTGGTCGGGGCCGGGGCCGGCACCCCAGGGCCCGAGCCGACCCAGGCTGGAGAGGCCGGGGGGGCCAGACTGGGCCACGCCTTCTCCCCCCACACGCCCCTTACCTGCTTCAGGCGAATCAAATGTTCGCGGGAAGCAGGGGAGGGGGCGGAGTGGGGGCGGGGACTTTGGGGAAGGGGCGGAGTTGGGGCGGGGGCAGGGGGCGGGGCCCGTGGAGTCTCCTCCTTTTGGAGGCTCAAAAGATGGTAACCCTAGTTACAGGAGCAAGGTTGGGACCCGGACAAGTCAATCATCCGAGGCAATCCAGGAAGTCCCGCCCCCGGAGGGCGTGCCAGAGCTGGGGAGTGGCCTCCAGGCCTGTCTATCATGCCTGGGCGTGGCCCCGGCATACCAGGAAGTCCCGCCTCCTCAGAGCCTTCCGGGGTGTGGGCAGCGGCTCCATCCGTCACGTACGACAGGCGAATCCTGGAACTGCCGCCTCGTTCTAGCGCCGGGATTGGTCACTGGCTCTGTCCATTATCCGCCAGTGCCCCTGGGGCGGGGCCTCCCCCAGCCAGTGACGGGTGGGTTCGAGGGGGAGGGGCCGTTTCCCCCACGCGCTCTCCGATCGATGTGCTCGGCGCTCGGCTGCGCGCCCTGACCCCCCCCCCTTCGCCCCCGCGGCTCTGGCTCCGCCCCCTCCGCGCCCGGCCCCGGCTGCAGCGCCCGGCCCGGGACCCCCCCCGAGAGCGGGACCCGCCCGGCCCAGCGCCCCCCGGGTCCTAGCGCCGCCCCGGCCCCAGCGCCCCACCCGGATCCACCAATCCCCCCCCCGGGTCCTAGCGCCGCCCCCGGTCCCAGCGCCCCCCGGGTCCACCAATCCCCCCCGGCCCCAGCGCCCCCCC